TGATTTATTTTTATGAATACCTAGAATTCTTTTGTTTTGTTTTGTTTTTTCAGTCTTGCCTCTTTTCATCCTAAGGTATTTGGCAGTAGTTTTTAAAGGCAGGCGTGATTTCAGGCCATTCTGGTTTTACTGCAGTTAAATTTTCAAAGACTGTTGTTGCAGGTCTATGCTGAAGTATTGAGGTGCAAGTGAGAATGTTTGAGGTCCTATATTTGAAGAATTATAGGCTATATTGCTATTCCGTTGTCATTTTACTTCAGATGACAATGTTTTGTGTATAGGACAACTTTTTCAGACTTGCCCCATTTTGAATAATGTTTTCATTATCTATTTTTTGGAAAGAGATCAGTAAGAAGGAAAACTTGGGTATCGTACTGTTTTTATACGATAGTGGCCTGATTTGCTGTGTCTTCCAATACAAAACAATTTGATGCAAGAATTTCACTGCATGATCCTCTGCACTGGGGGGAGTTGAGGATTTCTGGTCCTCTCAGAATTGCACACTTGTAGGCCATTAATGTCTTGACTCTGTAAAGATATTTACCAGGTTAATGTGAATGGACTTGTCACTTTATAAACTTGTCTAGTTTATAAAGAAAAATTTCTTAGAACAGCTACTAAATCTTAAATTGAGAATGGCAAATTTAAAACTATTAGCTTACAGGAACATTATTTCTTGTGGAAAGGAGTTTTGACATGATCAGGCTGTGGTGTGATGAGGCTGTTTCAGGTTTTACATTCAGCAGTGCTTTTAGGCACCCTTTCGCTCCCATAAAAGTTTGCCACATACATACTTTTATGTAACTTCTTTCTTTTTTTTTCACTTCCTATATAAATTAGAGTGACTCTGAGTGTTCATTAATACAATCTAAGCGTAAACTGCATAGACGGAAATATCCCAGTTACCGAACACGGAATAATATTGAACAACTGGAGTCTTCTGATGAGGAAAGAGATAACTGCTTTGGCTTGATAGAGCAGGTAAGCTTTCTTCTGTGTTCTGTATTTTGAACTTGAGTTCCTCAATAAGTGAAGTTTCATGTAAATATGCCTTTTCTTTCTTAAAACAAACAAGCAAACAAAAAAAACCTCCTCTTTTACCAAGGAAATGATTTCTGTAGGCATCATTATTGTTAGCACTTCTTAAACTTGTTATCTGTTACTTTAATAGTGGCAGTCTTTCCTGTCATTTTATAAATGGCTGAACTATTGTTGCTGAGAATCTTCTAAACCAAATGCACAGCCCAAGGCAAAGAACTGATGTACAATGCTGAGTTTGGCTTAAAGTGAAGTTTGGATTTTAGATGTCTTTTGCTGTTTCTCTGTGAAAACCTTCCAAATTCGTGCACGCACCTGCAACTGGAAATTTTGAAGGTTCTTGATAAAGCATTGTTATGGCCTGGTAGTGCGATTCTTCCACGGAGTCTATTTGTCCTGTCCGAGTCCTGGCTTGGAGTGAAGCAGGACTTTGCTGCGGGTAGCAAGAGTGCAGAGGTAGGACTGCTTGAACTACAGTTGTCTTGCGTTGCACGCAAGGAAGTAGTCTCAAACTGGGAAAGGGGGAAGAAGTGCAAGGAGTAGAGGAGGTCGGACTAGTCACTTACTTTGTTAAGGAAAAATGGTGAACAAAATGGGGGACCTTCAGAACATGGGATAATTTTGTAAGTAAGATCAAGAATGATGTTCTTTGGAAGTGAACTCTCTTCTCCTATCCTCTTAAAGAACTCCTGCATGTTTAAAAACAGTAAATCACTTACGTTTAATGAAAAGTTCTGGTTTTCCTTACTTTGGAAATAGGATGGAAGGAGAGTTGACAGGAGACTTCTGGCACCTGAGAAATTCGAAGCACGTGAAGTGCAAATAGGACAGTTATACACATTGTCCTGTAAATACTATATATACTTAATATTTTTGAAGAAGTGATGTTAGATCTAATAATAGTAAAACTAACAATGCTGTAAGAAGCTGTGCTTTGATGTAGATGGGTGTCCTGGTTTCAGCTGGGACAGAGTCAGCTCTTCTTTTCAGCAGCCAGAAGAGCTCTGTGATTTGGTTTTAGTCTGAGACTTGCTCTGAGAAGAACACTGACAGCGCACTGATGCTTACAGTTGGCACTGAGACATCAAGGACTTTTCAGCTGCCGTGTTCTTGCCAGTGTGCAGGAGCACAACAGGATAGCGGGGAGCATGGCCGGGACAAAGGGTCCATGACTGTCCTTAGGATTTGTACTTAGACTTAGGATTGAGGGCCAAATTGGCCAATTAGTATTCCATATCATGCAGCGTCATGCCCAGGATAAAAGAGAGGGTCAGCCGGAAAGAAGGGCCTTTGCTCTTCCGGGGCTCTCACTCTCGGACTCTCCGAGTGCTCTCTCTGTCTTGCTCTCTATTTTCGGGCCTCTTGCTCGTCCAGGATTGCAGTGTTGGGACTTGTCTGTTTTGGGATCGTTAGTTCGGGATGAGACGAACCTTGGTCAAGGGGTGGTGGGCAATTACACCGTACATCACTCGTTCGTATATATTTATCATTGTACATATCTGTGTATATTCATATATTAGTAGCAGTGGTATTAAATTGTTCTTGTCTCAACCCACGGGTCTCTTTTCCCTTTTCTCCTTTAATTCCCTTCCTCATCCCTGGGGAGGGCGAGAGGGTGAGCGAGTGGCTGCGAGGAGTTTAGTTGCCAGAGCGGCCTAAACCATGACAATGAGTTGGGTTTTTTTTTGTGGTTTTTGTTTTGTTGTAATCCTACGAGTGGTAGGATAAAAAAGAACTGACTTTGTGAGTATTGTCAATCCTGTACACTGTATAAACAGGTCTTAGGGGGAAGACTGAAAATGACAAACAAATAATCAGTTGGACTAATTCAAACAGTATCAAACTTGAAGTTGCAAGTTGAGTCTTGTTTTTCTTACTTTTTTTTTGCTTGACATCATCTAACTTAAGACATGAGCAATGCATTATACTTAGTCATCAATTATGGAAAACATATTTAAAACGTGAAGTTAACGGAACTAAATTGTTGAACAACAATCAGGAAATTAGTGAAGTTGTAATATATTTTGATATATCTTAACTGTTTAATTTTGCATTTAAATATGTGTGGATGCACCCAGTTAGTACTTGGTCAATCAGTTGATATTAAAATCAGAAAAATCACCTGATTATAACTTGCGTAACTAAAGAAAAAAAAAAAAATCATAGAAATGCTACTCCCATAACAGAATATATCCATGTTGTGTGCAGATGGAAGATGTGATACTTTTCCTTGATTTGTTTCTTTCGCAGTCTTTAAATTCTTCCTTTGCGTTCTAGTGAGCTTTATTTTATTGTGTACTTTACGTGACCTAATTACAGCCTCATGAGTCTGGAATTTGAAGGAATCAAAATTGCCTGCCACTTTGATCTGAGAAACGATGTGAACTTATCTTAGACTAGAAAAAAAATAGAAGTCGTATGACAGGGGGATAGAAGTGTTGGTTTGTGAAGAGTGACTACAGCAGGTGGATCCACATGTGGCTATTGTGAGTGAATATACAGAAGTTAATGATTAATAACGCACCCCTGAGGTTGATAGGGTAATTGAAATCAGCTACAAAAAAGGACTACTATAATTTCCATTTTAATAACTCTTTTTATGAAATTTCTTCCTAACTTGATAATATGCAGACATGAATGGAAAATGTGTTCTGTGTTTCAAACCCTTAAAACATGTGCTGTGAGAAGGTTTTGGATCTGCTCTGCATTTTTTTAAATTCAGGAAGCCGAAGAAAGTGAGGGCTCTGGCTCATCTGATGAAGAGGAAGAGTGGAGAAGTGACAAGAAAAGCAACAGTAATAGTTCTAGGTAAAAGCGAACAAACAAATCCCAGGTTTTACTATAATGAGTTTTATTTGAATTTTGGCAAGTTAAAAGTTTTGTGGAAGTTCTAATGTGCTTCGTATGTAATAATATTTTGTAGAGTACGGTACTGTACTGACACATTGCCTCATTATTTAGTGTTCCATTTCACCAAAGCACTTTTGTCTTTTAGTGTAGTTTCAAATCCTTTTGCTTTTTTGCTAGATGGCAAGGAGAAAGAAGATAATCTGCAACTTTTTTTTATAGTGTGTTTTGTTCTGTTGAGTTTTTGAGGGGTGAGGGATTTTGTTTGGTTTTGATTTTTGGTTTTTGTTGATTTTTTTTTTTTAATAATGCAGCAACAGTCAGTTGCTTGCTCTTAAAAAACACAGAGAGAGAGAATCAGATATGTACGTGTGAAATTTGTATAATTGTCTTTGAAAGATTTAAATAGTGTTTGGCTGGTGTGTTGTTTAGGGAGGGCTCTAAACTAGTCCAGAATTTCATTGCACAACGTTTTTAATAAAATTACTGATTTTAGAATTCACCAGACTTGAGGTGTTTTTTTTCAAAAACATTCTTTGAATTACTGTATTCCCAAAACATTATGTTAAGCATCAAGTGAAGTAGTTGTTAGAACAGGTCAAAGTAATTTTAGTTCCTTTGATCATGCTTTCAGCAGTAATCTGTATCTGCAGATATTTGTCTAAGAGAATGTAGCATTCTGAAATACTGATAACTTGGTTCTATGTTTGTATTTTCCTTGACCCCCTCCGCTATGGACAGTGATTCTTCAAGTAGATACTCTGACTGGATCGCTGATGCAGGGATTAACCTACAACCTCCTGTACGGACTTCTCGACGGAAAGCTATTAGATATTGCAGTACTTCAGAAGATGAAGTTTCAGCAGAGAAATCATCTCCTCCAAAGAGAAGAAGAAGAAAAAGAAGAAAAAAGCCCAAACCAAAAAAGCAGGAGGAGGTACACAGTTAACTTCTGCTCACTCTTCAATAAATTTGTCTCTTAGGTTTTAGACCTCTTCACTGGAAACTGTTAAAGTAATTGTTGTTGCCATTGGACAAGGATATTGGTATTGCCACATACAGGGTCCTGTTAATTAATTTGAGACCATTCCAAATGCAAGGTATCTGCTGATTTGAACGGAAGAATCTGCGTTCCAAGTGAAGTCATTTTCACTTTTCAGATAAAAAGGGTTCTCAAGGTTGCTGATATCAAAGGAGAAATGTGATTATTAAGTAACTGTACAGAATATTAGACTTAAAACCCTGTTAAACAGTCTGGTTTTAAGTTACATATCTTTTTGAAATCTCAGAGAATATAGTCACTGTATTGATAGTGACTGTTTATACTCGGGTTGAATTTTTAATTTTTTTTTTACAATAATTACTCTTTTTTTCAGTTACCAAAAAATTTTTAAGTTAATTTAAATAATTATCCTTTTTAAAGTTATAATAGCTATTATTTGTTGCTTTCTACTGTAAATGGGCAGACAGATTTTTTTTATTTTTTTAATACTTGGGATAATTTTGGTATGTTTTTTCTCTCCATCCTTTCACTTTCTTCCAAGTATTCTCAAAATGATATTTTTGGAACTGTTTTAACGTGGATATTTACTGTGCAATATTGCTTATAATTTTTCCATCTTCAAATAGTTATTTCAGCTGAATAGATTTTATTTTTTTTTTTTTAGCTGGGCATTGAGAATGCCATCTAAATTATAAAACTTTGTTTCTCTTAAGACCTGCATAATTGTAATCTTGCTCACTCAAATCTTCATGTAGGAGAGGAATACTTATATAAATACAGTTACAACTTGAATAAAGCCTCGGAGGAATTTTACTAATACATTTTGGAAATGTACATTAGTGTCTTACAAGTTCATAGATTTCCTAGATTTCTAGGTTGGAAAAGACCTTAGAGATCATCCAGTCCAACCGTCCCTAATCTCCCATTAAACCGTATCCTTAAGTAGTTCATCCACCCTTTTCTTAAACACATCCAGGGATGGGGACTCAACCACCTCCCTGGGCAGCCTATTCCACTGGCTGACAACCCTTTCAGAGAAGAAATACTTTATAACATCCAACCTGAATCTCCCCTCACTAAGCTTATTCCCATTTCCTCTTGTTCTATCACCCATCACTAATGTAAAGAGCCCTTCCCCCACCTCCCCAATCCCTTCTCAAGTATTTGTAGGCTGTAATCAGGTCTCCCCTCAGCCTCCTCTTTTCCAGGCTAAACAGCCCCAACTCCCTCAGCCGCTCCCCATAAGTTTTATTTTCCAGCCCCTTGACCAGTTTAGTCACCCTTCTCTGGACCTGCTCCAGGAGCTCAATATCTCTCTTAAAGCGAGGGGCAAAAGTTAAGCTTTTGTCTACCAAATTAAAATGGAATGAGTTGTTGTCATGTCTGCAATATGTCTGTTATATCTAATTTTGCTCTCTGTTAAATGTGAAGGCTAATGCTGCAGCACAACCAGTAAACTTGGAATTGTCGTATGATTGGCATCCTCCTGTTTGGATAACAGACACAGCTCTTCGAAGATCCCCTTTTGTTCCTCAGATGGGCGATGAGGTACAAATATTGATTGAAATCTTTAAATGCTTGTGTTTAACTAGCATTATTATAGTTGCTAAATACAGGAAGACATTTACTGTTTGGTTGTTTTGGTTTATATTTAGGTAATATATTTCCGACAAGGACATGAAGCTTACATTGAAGCAGTTAGAAGAAATAATATTTATGAACTGAATCCACACAAGGAGCCCTGGAGAAAAGTAGTCCTTAGGGTAAGTCTGCATTGAAGGCACTGCGGGTTCAGTACTAGTTGCCTGTGAATGAAGAGGTGTATTACACTGTCTGCAAAACGCTGATTTGTGAGGTTATGCTGTTTCCCATAATGTTTCCTTATGGAAGCAATAGGAGAAAGTGTCTTCAATTACCAGAATATCTTCAGAGTTGCCTGTGGGAAGCCCGAATATAAATGGCTGTGTTAAAATTGCCAAGTCTGGCAGACTGTCTTCCATTGAAATCTCAAATACAGTTTCAATATTTTTTGGCTTTTTGAATGTGAGTACAATTCACGTGCTTGATTAACTAATGTTAAATTAATAGTTCTGTGTACAGTCCAGAAAGTAATACTTACTGAAACTGTTCGTTCTTACCTGTAGGATCAGGAATTGGTAAAAATTGTTGGAATTAGATATGAAGTTGGTCCTCCCACGTTGTGTTGCCTCAAGCTTGCCTTTATAGATCATGCCACTGGAAAACATACAGACAAATCATTTTCCATCAGGTGTGTGCATCTTTATTTTTCTGAAAAGTATTTAAAAATACAGTTTTTTTTAATCTTCTTCCTAAAGCCCTAAGGTGCACACATGAAAGGGATTATTTGTTTCATCTAGATACCATGATATGCCAGACGTTATCGACTTCCTTATATTGCGTCAGTTCTATGATGAAGCACGGCAAAGGAACTGGCAAGCTTGTAAGTGTGTTTTCTAAGTATTTGACTAAATGATTTTGAAATAAAAAAATTGTCCTTGGCTAAGTGCTGAGTGCGCTAGATGCTACTTAGTTGTAACTTCAGAGGGCTCTCTGCTGGGTAAAGTCCCTTTGCCCATTAGGAATTGGAGGCTGCTAACTGCTGTACTAAGCATTTTGGAGGGACTACCATAGATTTAAGATACAGTCTTCAAAACATAGTGTTTGCTTTTCTTATTTTATAGCTAAGTAGCAAACTTACTTAGATTTTAACATTGGGTTTTTTTGACATAATAAATTGTCTCGTCTTTTATTGAGTATCAGTGGGTTTAGAACTTTAAGCTCAAATACATTGATCAAAAGTTTTCTAATTGCATGTAGAAGCATAGTTAAATAACGTTTCTTATTAGAATACCTAAGCAGACTTTTTTTACTCTAGCTGATAGGTTCCGATCCATTATCGATGATGCATGGTGGTTTGGAACAGTGTTGGGTCAAGAACCGTATCAGCCTCAATATCCAGATAGTCACTTTCAGTGTTACAGTGTTAAGTAAGTATAAAAGGATTTTACGCTTCTAATGTTAGTAGTGTGGGTTACCTCTTACATAGCTGGCTTGTTGGTATGAGAATGTATAAATTGTTCAAAGAATTTTACTTGTATTGTCACTTCTTAATGGTTTCAAGTTGCTAATCTAGCACAACATGAATACGTAATAACTTGTAGAAACTTTTTAGTGAATAGTAATATGGTGAAATACATTGTTAACCTCTTTCACATTTGCAAATCATTTTCTATAATGACTAGTGCTGAATCTCTTCCGTGAAGCAAATAATGCAATTTCCAGTGTATGTTAATTATTATTAGTATTCATTGATAATTGGTTTTGGATGGTGCATGCTGAACTTCTGTTGTTGCTGACATCCTTATGCTTCAAGTTCTCGAACTTCTGTCTCGCTTTATAGCCTACAGGAGAAAGTATACATATAAGATGATGTCATGCTATCACTTCAGACTCCTGTAGAGGATGTTTCCAAACATTGCTCTCTCTTCATGCTTGGCACATGAATGTGAAGAAAGAACTTGAGTCTCTTCACTGCCTAGTCGTATTCTGCCATAATCGCTAATGTGTAGATCCCACTTGCAGTTCCACCTTTTGTTTACCTCTTTGGGTGATACGTAGCTAGGTAACTGGCAGGTAATGTAAC